TAGGGTTTAAATAATTTTGAAGTCTACAATATTACAATATTTCTTATTTTATAAATATAGCTGTTCTCGTGTATTTTTTTTTAACGATGACCTATAATTGAATTAATATTAATATTAACTACCATAAAATTTAATAATAGGCTTAAATCTTTTTATATAGTTCAACCAATAAAAATTAGTCGAACAAATATCTCACATGTGACAATAACTTACTTAGCATAAAAATCAACTACCGTATTTTTTAAAATTAAAAAATAAAATTACGATTCTGAAAATACAGCTAAAAAAATTAGTTACAAAAATTACCAAGTAAGTTAAATCAATTTTTATGAAATTAAGTCTGAAATTGTTGTTTTGAATATAAATAAGTGTTAAATAGTTTTTTTCTTTTAGTTTTTTAAATGAAATATTTAGAAATAACCTGTTTAAATATATTATCTTTACAACAATAACAAATAAATAATATATCTATATTCTATATAAAACCAATCTGTTCTGCGTAGAATATTATAATATTTAAATTGATTTGGTACAATTTATAGTTTATGTAATGTTATTAGTCATTATTACTAAAAACAATATATTATTTATTATAATAAAGAAACACTACAGACTTTGCTTGAAAATATAGTATACTGGTAGTGTAAAGTACGTAAATAAATTCTGTAAAAGAAATTATGACTTTCTGAGTAAAAAAACTATATTTCTTTGTGATTGGGTGATTGAATACTCAGAGATAGCAAAATTAATTTTAATAGATGTGGTGTTCTATGGAGTTGACTTATCCATATAAACATAATCGTATTTACTGAATATGATAATAATTCCTTTTAAATTTATTTGGATAAGTATTAGCAACGTTATATGAAGTGACTAATCTGTATCTGTCATATTTTCCCATGTACCAAGAATCACTTTATAAAAGTTATAGAACTTATATTAGACTTTTAAATTCTCATCTGAGTTTGGCGTGATTAAAATGTTTTATTTCTTATTTATGGTCTATAATCTATATTAAACTAGAAAATAACATCGGAAATATCGTGACAAATTACTACCGATCATGACAATGTGCAGCTGAGCTAAGTTAAACTTCAATTTGTTGTATATGAAATATAATAAGTAGTATTTTAKTTATTTACTTTATGTTTTTGGAATATTTTTCTTTATTTTTATTGATACTGTTAATCAATTTTGCCAGGTATTCTAAAACGTATAACATTAAAAGTACAAATAATTTTAAAATGGTTTTTCAAATTAATGTACCTCTGCTTAAAAATGCTTTTTATTTATTATATGTATATAATAGTATAGGTACCTATTTAGTCAAATATTTTAACAAATTAAAATTAATCTACATCAAAGAATTGATAAAGAGTTAAAAATATGTTTCTACAAATGATATGGATTGGATTTTTTTTATTACACTTTTTTAGAAAACACCCTTTGGGGTAGTGAAAATACTTAAAAATTTCGTTAAAGGTTTCCTTATTAAACTAGGTATAATAAATGTCATTATTTAGTTTCTAACTTGTTTGTATTCAGTTCACCAGATTTTGTTTATTAAAAGTAATCTAATGGTGCCATATAGCTCATTTGTCATTTTTATGACGTAGAACGATATAGCTATGTACTAATGCACTACCTTTAACTTTAAGTAATTTTAAATTATACTTTCTAAGTATACATTAAAGATGAGTACTGTATACAAAACTAACATACAATAATAATACTTTTAACCGTAATACGTATTAATATTATTATATAGATGTATAATTATATATTGATGTAATTTATAAAATTGTGATAGTTTTTAAATATTATAAATCTAAAATTGATCCTGCCTATCATTACATAATATGTGAGCTTT